GCTGGAAGTTGAAGACCTGCACCTCGAAGCTCGCAAAGCGATACGTTCATAAGGTTGAAGCCTCACTCATTGCGAAGCCTTTTGGAGGCTGCGTCTCGCATGAAGCCAACGTAACACAACTTTCATGAATGGCAAGGACCCGAACTGGAACCGCGAACCCGAACTGATTCCTGCGGGAACCGCAATGCCGGTTTGAATACCCGTGAACCGCGAACCTGCCGAACCGAACCGCCCAACTCGTTTCTTAGCTTTGTGTGCAAACAGACAGACCAAAATCCTTATAGTCTCCGTGCAAGAGGCGCCGTGCACCGTGCACCGGTGGAACACAGCATTTAGCATCTTCAGATCCAAACGTGCCCAAAACTTTACTGCAGCGCATTTCGGGCCCCCCGCCCCTGCCAAATTCTGATATCTCCGGCGTCTTCCGGTACTTTTTGGTATAGACTATATCCAAACAGACACACATAATATCATACAATTATCTGTACTCCCCCACGTCAAAAGGGCCGCGCACGGGGGAGTGCAGGTTTTAGCATTTAACCCAAACGTGCCCGGTCGCGGGGGAGTACGACTTTTTAGCACTTCCAAGCCAAGCCCAAAATTAAAGGCGCTAAACCCTGTACTCCCGCACGGTCCTCGCCCTGCAGGGACTCGATGAAGCCGCTAAACAAACCTATCCAATTCTGTGCTCCGGCGCGAATGCGGCGCTGCGCGCCGAAGCTCAGCTTTTAGCAGTTTCAGACCCAAACCTGCCCAAAACTGCACTCCCGCGCATTCCCGGCCCGTGCCGGAGTACAGAATTTGGCACTTGCAAGCCCGAAGGTGCCAAGTGCCAAATTGTGTGCTGCGGCGCTCCCGGCCCCGTGCCCAAACTTGCCAAATTCTGTACTTCCGCATTTTAAGGCCTGCCACCGGAGATCCCGAAACAGTGAAAGAAGCAGGTCATTCTGACCAGGAAGTCACAACCGCCGTGTGCTTGAGAAAATACGGGTCGGGGTAAACTGAACTTATTCGGAACTGTCAGCAACCGCGACCCGAACCGCAGGAACCGCAAGAGAAACCGAACCGCATGAACCTGAACCGCCGTCTCAAATCCGCAGAGCGAACCGAACCGAACCGTTACATTCATCAACTGTGAAGAAGCGTGCCTTGCTGTTGAAAGCCCGCTGCTCCTCCGCGAAGTCCTGCCCGCCCAAAGAGGACACACATCTACCAATGAACATCCTGCATACTTTTACCCTTGCTAGACCGAGCCTTGCGGTAGAGTTGCCATGACCGAAGCACATTGCTCACCACCTCACGAAGTGGCAGAAAAAATCAAAAAATAATCAAGCATTCCGCAGGCCGCTAGCCAGCACTGCAACGAAAGGTCCAGAGTCACACCCCTTGCCCTGTCTCAACGCACGGCGATACAAAACCAGGAAAAACTGGCTAAAAGCTTTATGGCTTCATGGGATAATGGTATATATGCCTCGCCAAATTCCTCATTGGGCTCGTCGCAGTCGCAGATGACAAGCTTGTCCACCCCCGCAACCTGAGTGTGGGGGAGAGGGAACGAGGTGGCCCACGGCCTTCGAAATTCTGTCAGGCGAGCGGCTGCGTCGTAAAGGCTGTCCGGGACTTTCCCGAGAGACTCCCTCGGACCTGCAACCGGGCGAAAATCTGAAGCTCAGTCCTCCAACACGCTTCCTCAAAACGTCCCAACATGTCCTTGCGGCCACAATCTTCCAGTTTGATCCGAGGCAGCGGCCGGGGTTGCTGCGAGTCCCAAGGAAGCCACGCGTCTGAGCCGTTACCTCGGAAATGGCGGGGCTTCACGTCTTTGAGGCTGGAGAGGCTCGGGACGGCTCAGAAGGAGTCAGCAGTCACCGGATTCCGGGCTTGCCAGCAAAACCCAGGCAAACTTATTCGCAAGAACATTTCGAGAAATTGAAACTCTTGGTTCCTGTCGGTTTAGCACATGACATGTTCCATCATGTCTGCCGCCGGCAAAGTGAATGCTACGGCATCTGTGGATCTGACAGTGCAAAGCAGAGTCTGTCTGTCTCTCGTGCGCCAACCCCCACGACAGCCAGAGATGCGCGACAGCCGTGGGTGGCTAAGCAAGTCTCAGAAGTAGTGCTGCGGAGCGGCCGTCAGGTAGCTCGTGCCTTCTGACAGTTCGCTTCCTCAATTCATCTCTGGCTCTGGGTAGGCTGGAAGGCTCCGAAACATCGTCGTTGAAGCTTCTCGGCTACTCCACCACCTCTCTGTGCCAAGGCTCCCAGGGATTCCTCGTTGTCGCCACTCTTCAGGACGACGCAAGGGTACCCGCTGGTCACAAGCTTCCTTTAGACAGGGGACGCCCGGCTAGTTTCCAAGTGAGTTTCAGCCCCCGCGAAAGGCCTCAGCACAACCTGCCCGGTCTCGGTCTCAGCACCAACCACGAGCACGACCGGGTACTCATCGACCTCCATGTCGGTAAACAAGGTCCTGGACACCACGGACAGCTCACAGCTCACCTCACCATCCCATCAAAAAGCCGGGATGCTGCTCCAGGCCCTGGAGGCGCGCGGCCTCCACTTCAGCCGACTCCTGCGTGCACCGGCAACGTCTAATCTTGGCCCGGCGGGACATGGAGCAAGACGGCTTGCAAGCGTCAGGCTGCAGATCACATGTTTGATACTGCATGTCGGCTCAAGGCTCAAGAAGCACAGGACATCGTGACCGACTTTACATCAATGCTGCGTCCGAAGTGTGTGCCTCCGGCCGCCGCTGCAGCGCACGCAGAGTCTGCGGTCGTGAAATGTCATAAACATGAACTTCGTGGGTTTTGGGGTTCGGGCTGGAGGTTTCTCGGTCACTTCGACACGACCACACTGCAGCAAGAAGCAGTCTTCATCCGCACCACCACCCCCATGAGCAAGGAACCACCGAACCTTGTCCAGCTCCATTCGTCGGGATCGGCCTGCCTGGCACAGACAGTCGCAAGCCCGGAGGCACCGCGAGTTAAAGGTCACAGCGCCATGACTTGACTAGTCTACAAGACCCCGGAAATCACAGGCTGCTCGGGGTGCTGGTCGGGCCGTGAAACTACATGGCAGGACCTTGAAGAAGAAGGTCTGCTGTGCCAGGCCGAACCTGATGAGAAGTGCAGCTCAATCGGGGCCCCAAGGCGTCAGGGCAGAGTCCGTTTCTTTAAAGATTTGGGTGCCCTGACTCTCCATGCCTATCCCGTTCGCGAAAGTCCGAACTGCAAGTCGGAGCTACCATGAAGCAACATGCTGAACACAGACTCCTTGTTGTTGACTCCAAGCGACACGAGGGCTGCTAGTCCAGCAGCGGGCCCAAAGCTTTCCAAGAAGGAAGGGCGGTACTCCTGGCATGCGAATCTTGCCGCTGGCGGCTGCCGATGATTGCAGCAACGTACTGACTAAAGAATCTGGCCTTTTGCCGAAGTGACCCCTACGAGGCACCTGCTCGGACTCGTCGGCGGTCGCGCCGGAGCTCTTGCTTCCCAGGTCCGCCTTTCTTGGCCCTCCGACGAGCTCCACCTGTCCCGAGGCTGCGGTCATGTGTGCTGCTGGTGCCAGGCTGCGCGGCCTCGATGTAGAGTCGTTTGCCCGATTGCGGCAACCGGTACACCGCACCTGTGAGTTGCAGCGCGCTGCACTTGTTAGTCTGTTAGTCCATACATGTCCATACTCGACGATCGGCAGATACCCTGCCTCGATCCTTCATTCCCGGCCAGCTCTCCCCTTTCAGCACGCTCAGCCAGCCCGGAGGGACTTGCTTGCAAGCCTGGCCACGGACAAAGGCAAGCGATCACCAAGCTGTTCCAGCGAGCAGATGCAGCGAAGCGAAGCTCCGTAATGGAAGTCGACCCCTCGCCTGGGATGCATTGACACCAGACTTGGCCAAGCTGGCAGCCCAGGCCTTCCAAAGAAAACATGGAAGGCAAAGTTCATCCATGTGCAAGCCCCAGCCTGTGAGTCCATCCGCCGGATCTGCTCGGCGGAAAGCAGCTGCTCGGCGGAGACCTTGGCAAGACTTCCCGAATGCCGATACGCCTGTGCCCGCACTACGGATCTGGCCTGCGACGACGACGAAGATTCTGCTTTTGCAATTGCAGCTACGTTTTCAGAACGGTGCGTCATGTTGGTATGTTGCGGTGCTCGACCAAGGATTTTTTTGCACGGCGACGGGAAGTGTGCTGTCTGTTGTAGGTCGAACCCTCCTGGCGGTAGATATCACGATATGCAATGCCTGTTGGGACAAGGGGCCTTCTCACGGTCGACTAGCTGCTGCGGAATGAACTCCAGCATTTCCTTGGTTGAACTCGGGCTTGCTGGATCAACGAACTCTGCCAAATTAGCTGCTACTTTAGGACAAGCCATGCAGTTGCACGCAGTGGTATTGCAGGGTATATTTAACATATAGGCGACTTCAACCTGAGCATAGCTGCTAGGCAATGGCTGGGCGCGGTGTGGCACCGTGAGCAGGTAGAACAGCAGACGGGAGCTGCATCAGAGAAGCATACTCTTATGTTGCCACGCGACGTGCAACGACGCCTCAATGGGAACGACAGCACAACCATCACTCCGCATGGATGTCGAACTGGGTACTCTTTTTCCCTCATCTTGCTAGCCCGAGTCTTGTCTTCTCGCAGGTGTCAGACGTGCGAATCAGCTCAGACGACTTTCCAGCTTGTTCGTCGATCATCTGCTTCGTCCAAGTTTCTCCGGCCAGGAGCAAGATAGCCCGCAGCGACGTGTCCGGAGTAGGGGCCTCATCAGAGACCCGATTAGAGCGAGGACACTTGCTGCCCATGTATATACTTGGGTTGCGTTCGGGAGCATCCTTCACCAAGTCACGACATAGAATTCAAAAGAAGAAATATAGAGTTGAGTTGGACTGAAACTAACCCGGCTTAGGCTTAGCACAATTGCAAAAAGAAACAGCGCAACTTTCAGAACCACGCCCAAGACAGCTTATCTCTGCATGCCACATCAACTCAAGACACCATCACCACCTCGATAATCATTCTGGAAGAGATGAAGCTTGCGATTCTACCACCCCTCTTTCTGTCAAAATGTGACGATGGGGCAGCGGTTGTGGACAGGTACCCGCAATGGCTTCTTGCAGTTGGAAGTGTTTGGGTTGGCATCAAGGCATTAAGGTCGATGCTGTGACAGTTTCATTGGGTTGGGCTCCAATCTGCAGCCAGCGTAGGGATGAGGGATGGTGCTGAAACTGGCTGCGCATGGGTGGAGGTGCTCGGGGTTTACTTGGCGCATGATGGGTCACGCTAGCACAAGACTGCAGGGAGTTTAAGCACTGCTTCTCTGAAGAGAACATGAGACCCATTGCAAAAAAACTCCACGTAGTGCTGCCTCCAACTTGTCGTCGGTGCAGGCCAGGCGCCACCTCGCAGTCACTCTTTGACTCCGGCTGTTCCGTGCTGGTGCCGCGGCTACGGCGGCTACGGTACCTTCCGTTCTTTTTTGGGCTCTCAGCCTGGTGAGGCCCAAGGTCCTGGCCTCAGCTGCGTGGAGTTCGTCGTGGTGTGCACCACCCACATGACGGCAAGCACCTTTAGCTGCCCGCAGCTCTGGGGCCCACTCCCGCCCGATTACAGCTTTGCTCCCGGTCCGAGGCTTCGCAAGGCTTCGCACAATAGCACCGGCTAACGGGACTTGCTTGGACTGGCTCTCCACTTCGGATAATCGCGGCCATCGCCAGCCTGCTTCACCGTTTCACGGATCAGCTCCCTGTTCTCCTCGAGAGGCCAAAGGAAAGCGCGAAATCTTGGACACGCAGAGAGAGATGTTTGCGGTAGCAGGCGAATTGCATTTGCAGGCTGCTCTCATCTGTCCAAACCCTCTGCTCCCTTGCCAAACCTCGGTCACCATGGACGCCGGGAGCTCTGCCAGGATCTCACGGAGGACTCGGGCACCGCTGCCATCCTGTGACAGCCACCCCTGGGCCTATTCCTTGCGTGAGGGAAAAAAGGCTTGAAACGCAAAGCCGTGTCAAGCCGCCCCTTAATTTTTCGCCCTCATGCTGCTTGTCCACTCGAGGCACTTACAGCAAGATGTATGCTGCGAGATCAGCTTCGCCACTTCGCCTCTGCCAGGCGTGCAAGGTCCTCCTCGCTGCGAAGGAAGCGCCTCCTTGGCAACACAGCCCGATGGTGCTACGGTTGGGGCAGAGAATTTTTCAAGGACTTTGAGACTTCGTGCTAACCCAGACTTCGTGATTTCGGCTGCTCGGGCTACTGGGAAAGCCGACCAGTGATGTTGGCCTGGCTTCATCGAAACAAAGCCACACAGACCGAGGAAGGGGACACAGCACCGATCCGGCTGACACGACGCTCAAAACGGGAGCCCCTGAATCCTTGGAAGCTGCATGCCAGGCATCTGCATGTCCTGTAGTACTCTCTTATCCTGGAGATCTTGCTTGAGCTCCTGCAGCCGTGCTTCTTTCGAAGCGAGATGCCCAAGGGTGATGATGTGTCATTGGGATGTGTAGGCATGCTTTGGTGCATCTAGGAGATCCGAAACGGAAGCTACGAGTTTGGAGGCAGCTCAAAAAGCAAATACCCAGACCCCAGAGCCTCGTCCGTTGGCAACTCATCCAAGGGTGCTTCCCAAGCCTTGGCGGAGCAGAATGACGCTTGTTTGCATTCTAGGTCTGCGCATTCCCTCAGGTGGCCGGTTTGTTGACGTGAGGCCTGAAATGGCTCCGTCAAGCGATTCAGACGTGCAGTGCAGGTTGCGGCTTGGAAGAATCCCCAAGCATGGGGTTCTAAGTGCTGGCTTGCGGGTCACAGCTCCACCCGCTGCGTATGCCCACCGTCCATATGCAAGGTAAGGATGACAGTTCTTCTTCTCCAGCCGTCGTTAAACAGGTGAACATTTCTGCACTGCCAGACATACATCACTATGTGGTCTCTGAGCAGCCTACAGACAAGTCACGATATCGTTGGCCCCAAGTAAAGCCAACGAGGATCCAAGGAAGGCGACAGAGCACCCTGCGAATCTCAGAACCTCCATGGTTCCATGATACTCCATCTTATATTATTGGCCTAAACCCTTTTCTCAACTGGCTTGCAACGAGCCCCGAGGAAGACTCATGACTCCATGGAGTTGGAGGCCGCTGCTGGCTCCAAGGGGTCCAGATCCTCGGGGGTCGCTGCCAGGCCGGCGATGTCGAAGAGGGGGAGCTCCTGCGGCTTTGCCCAGCTTTCTCTGTGCCTTTGCCCGATGGCCATGACATGGAGCCTTGTTCAGAGACCCGCCTCAGCGTGGTGTAAGCTAAACCACTTTATGTTCACATGCATAGCGGCGTGACGTCTGTTCTGGCAGATGGCACGCTCCATTAACAACACCGAGCCAGCAGACATGCCCTCAACATCCAGTCCTCGAGCTTCGCTTGCCAAGCCTGGCAGACAGGGCTTTGAAGCTAATTCCCCCTCAGTTGTGCAAAGAGCTGCTGGCAGTTTGAGTTTCGAGTGTACATGAATGGATCAGCCCCTCCTTGCTCATTCTGTCCGTCTGTTCTCTGCGACTCACCAGCGCCACATCCACATCAGGATTCGGCACCACGTGACCTGAGCAGCCATGGGAGCCGTTCTATACCTGTGACCACCACAAACGGCAAGTGACGTGTTGTCCATTTCTCGCTTTGCGGAAGCTGCGAAGAGGATACGGGCAACCGTCCTAGAGAAAGAGCAGCTGAGCATGCACACGTCCTGCATCGAATCACTCGAAGTCGAAAGGCACAGGCTTCCGAGGCAGACTGCAGGGACGTCTTGTACGATACGTCTTGTACGATCTATTTGGCCAGGCGGCGCAGGGCGGCCGAGAAGGGCACCGTCGTGAAGCCCTGATCTTTGCCTCAAATGTCAGAAACTTGGTCATTCTTGCTGCCAAAGCCTTACAACTCACATCTCTCTGGCACCTGCACAACCTGGTACAAGTCACAACCGTTGATTCACCCGTTCTGTCTGCCAGGCTGCCCTTCTTGATCCATCTCCTGAGGTGCCGACAACTCGAAGTTCAAGCACCACAACAAAACTTGCACTGGGGAGCCTCATGGCAAGGCTTCGGCCCAGATCCTGAAGGCAAGTCCGGATAGCATTTTTGTGCCTTGTTTGTCCACTCTCCAGCCTGTCGCGACAGACGAGGGAACCTCTTGGCGATGGGGTAGAGCACGGGGGTCACAATGCCGGACTCCTGCCACCCAGTGTGACTGAAGCCCAAGAACATGAGCTCCATGCTGATTGGAAGACTGCCCCCTCTCCCCGGCTCTTCTGCGCTGCGGCGCGCCTGTGCCTCCAATTCCTCCATCTGCCGTATCTTTTCGGCACGGTCCTTCCGCGAGCTAGGCGGAAAGCAGGCTGGAGGATGCGACAATCTGCAGGGACTGCCTTCTTGGAGAACTCGGAATTCGACAAGCTGCGACAGCATCTAGCTCCGGAGATCACAAGATGGACTTGTATGCCAGTCTACGCACCTCTCCTGCTCTGATAACCCCAAAAGCACAGTCAGTTTCTAGAAGCCGAGCATCCTCAGCCTGTCGTCGCCTTTCCTCCGCCTCCTGAGTCGAGGCTGCCAGAAGCTGAATCATCGCGGCTTTGATTTATTCCAAGCTAACAGAACCTCCCGAGATTCCCAGAAACCGTATGTCGGGGGCATTCGGGTACCATAGAAACAAGATACGTCTGGAAACAGCAAGCAAAGGCACTTTTATTCTTGCTGTTAGTACTACCCACCGTGCAATTTCTAAAGATTAGTAATCTCTGGTACCAGTGACTTCTGAGCCTCCGCCCCTCACGGTCGAAACGCTTTCACGGCCTCTAGACCTGTTATAACCCAGCCTTGCTGCTGCCTTCTTCATGTGGTCGCCATCATCACGCTATGTTTTAAAGCAATTCAAGTTTGACTACTGCTATGCACTCGCCTCCTCTTCCTCTTCGGTCCGCCGCCGGCCACCACGCTTGGGTGCGACTATGTTCTTGATGTCTTCCTCAGGTGCCAGACGTGTAGCACGGTGCGTCACTGCCTGGATGCTCTTGGTTAAAGAATGTAAAGGAGTCCTTGAAGCCTTCAAAGCCCTCAATGCCGGTCCTCCGCCGCTTGGACACGTGCACCAGCTTCTGGTGATCTTCGATACTTATAAGGCCCTCTCTACCACACGAAAGACACGTTCCTCAGCCCGCGCTACACAGTGACTGATTAGCTCCATGGGACATCTCGCAGCCGAGAGCGCCCGCAACTGGGTCCCCGCACATTGAATTGCAGTCCGCCTCTCGGGGTCTTCGCCGGTGAAGGCCGCGCATGTAGGCCCGTGAACGCCGCCGCCTTTCCGCGGACATGGGTTCGACCAGGGCAGATTGGGGCGCTATATCAAAGGATAGGGACAAAGAGCAGGGACCAAACCCTCAAGGCTGAATACACTGTGCTGGTGTAATGCTGACGGAAGCTTGCAGCCCCAGGGACGGCAGACAACGCACCGAGCAGCGCCAAGAGCGCCAGTGGCACTGCTGCACCGCGGAGGGCTCTGCCTAAACGGATCAAAAACTCGACCCTCAAGGAAGTGAAACCTGATCCGTATTTTGCAATCAAGCAACTGATCATAACTCAGTTGCACTGGGGCTTATGGAATTCATGCGAGAAACTGCATTTCCGCGTCGCTGCATGAAAACGACCGGCAACAGGCCCCGCATTCGAAACCGAGAGAGGCTTGGCTCCTGACCTCTGGCTCCCACGATTGCCTCGCAGGTGACATTAAAAGTGCACAGCCCCGGGACACCCTTCGTAGGAGACCCTGATGCCCCACAGGTCACAAAGCAGACTTTCTTTGCGTCAGTCCATGAGCTCCAGAAACCGCGCGCTCTCAGCGGCTGCAGGCTGAGGCCCGGGGTCCTGCAGCGCCACACAGACATCTCTGAACCTCCCGCTGAGCTGTCGAGCTCACTGCCCCCAAGTTGAACCCGGACCCTGCCGATCAGCTGGGAAGCAGCACTGCCCCCGACATGCCCAAAAAAAAGGTATCCTCGAAGCGGCGCGGGAATGTCTTTTGAAGCCGTGCAGCCTGAAGGCGGTCGGTTTGCAAGCCGCGGTTACATGTGTTTGGTGGGCCACAGCCAGGAGTGAAGGCTGCGGAGCTCGTCCCAAAGCAAGTCGGAGCATGTCGGAGCCTCCCTCGCCATCTCGGGCGGGCGCCGGGGTCCGAAGGCACGGCCACGGCCTCGGCTCTTGGAGGTTCATCCCGTGAATGCTAATGCTCCGGTGCCTTTTGAAAGAGTTCGGGCCGAAGGCCGAAGGGTCTCTACCCTGGCAAGATCGGAGCTGAGGCTTCCGAAGACACACGGATGGCATCAATTCATCCCTCGAAGACCAGTTCACCAAACTCACAGCCCGGGAACGGCTCTTCGACGCAGGCTCGGAAGCCTTCCAGGGCTCGTGGTTCAGAACTTGCATTTTCGCTGCGTGCTCTTTTAGAGAACATCGAGGACCGAAGCAGATGCTGGCCTTGAGGTTTTCAGCGCTGACCTCGGGGGCACTTTACCACCTGTCCACTTGACCATGGGCCAAATTCACTTCTCGTCCAACCGATCAAGCGGCCCATTCACTGATGAGCACGCACTGGGAAGGTGCATCGCAGCCACGGCCTCTCAAGAAAGCAATGAATCAACTGGGTCAGGCCACACGTTACCCCGCAAAGGCGTGAACACTGAGACTGCGGCAGATGGGGCATAGACGCAGGCCCCGTCCGTCCTTCAACAGATGGCATTGACCACACGCAGGCAGACTTAAATTCGCGGCCGTCCAAAACCACGAGCAGACACTCCAAAAACTGTCTTTCGTTCTCCGGTTCCTCCTCGACTCGCCGACGGCAGGGACCACAGAAAGGACCATGGCCACAAGGCGATGCCAAGAAGTCGCCCCCCACACAACTTCCCTCGGTGCAGTTCAGAGATGTTCACTCCCAGGCGGTCTCTCTCTCTGCCAGGCAGCGGAGCAGTGGCAGCAGGTAGAGCCCTCACGGCCGGCCTTCAGCAAACGGTAAAAGCAAAGGCCCAAGACGTGCACTTGTCGCGATTCGCGATCGAGTCCGGCTTTCGGGCTGAGGCCACACATGCCTATGAACCGAATTGCTCAGCAACCTGCCGGACTTGCTGTCTTCGCGCTCTGACCTGACAGGGCTAAGTTCTTCTAACTTCAGGCCGCATGTTGCAAGCTGCAGCTCCCAAAACGGCGTGGCCTGCGACTCTTGGACTGACCGTGGGCTTCTGACGGCCCCTCGCAGGTCAGAGCGCTTGCGATGGCTTTCAGGCCGGGAGGGCTGGAAATGTGCTTGGCTTCTAAGGATTTATGCTTTTAGGCGAATAGCTTTCAAGATGTCGGCGCACACAACGTCTCAGCCTTGGCATCATCCGCACAACACAGCCCAGCAGGTCACCAACACATCGGCTCTGCACCTTGTCTTGCAACTTGTCTTCGCAGCACGTTCGATCTGCGCCTTCCTGAGAAGTGGCTGGGCATGCAGGGCGCTGGGTGCATGAACATGCTTCTTTGGGTGTTGCTGATGACAACAAATCCCCTGCTCGTGCCGTGGCTCAAGTCATCTCCCAGCTCCGAAGCATCGTAACCTCAGCAAAACAGAGCCGAAAACAACGACCGCACGGTGCTTTTCTGCCTTCATGATGCTAGTCTGGAACTTCGTCTTGTGGTTGAAGTAAACTGTGAGGTCGAGCTTCGGTGCCAGGGTTGAATCTCCATTCTGCCCAGCGACGGCTAACACGGTCGAAGGCGGCACGGATCAGGCTATCGCCGGGATCCAAGGAGAACGCGGAGGCGTAGGCAAAGTAGGCTTCCCTGCAGCATTTTGGCAGGTCTCTCGCCTTCGGACATGCAGGAGGAGGTGGTGACCTTTTCGTTTCAACCTCTGCCAACGCCGCGATCCAGGTGAGGCTCCGCAGGTTCGAAGCTTTGTTGCTGTGACAACTAGAACCGATCCAGCCTGAAGCACTTCCGGAGCCTACCAAACTCATGAGGAAAACCACAACGGAACAAACTTGAAGAGACATCACTGAATCACAAACAAGGCTCCAGAAATACAAGCGCTGCATTGTGAAACTAAGTGGACACAAGTTGTTTTTATTCTGGTCATCCTCGTGACCCTTCTCATCAGACCAGCAGCAACAACAGCCCAACTTGGTGCGACAGTTCGGTACTTTCGGTAACTACTCACACTGATAATTCAATCCACTGCTCTGCCGACTTCTTCCAGTGATATCTCAGAGACCTTGCCCTTCCGCACAGAGTTGACCACCTTCAGCTGCGTTCCCGGGGCAAGCAGACTCTCCTTCTCATTCCCGTAGAATGTTATCTCAGAAATGTCAGCGGCTGTCTTGGTCTTAACTGTGAGTAATGTGCAAGCACTGCCACAGCCTTTCATGAAGTTCTTGGCCACCTGCTGGTCCGACGTGCAGCTGCTGACACCCCACCACGTGATGGTGGATCCAACTGCATACTGGTCGTAGAGATCTACACCAATACCCCGCCACAAAGTCCGCGTCTGCTGTGGCAGGCGATTCAGTGCTTCAAAGAGAAGCCTCAGGTACGGCTTGTATTTTTTGATCTTATTCCGATCCTCACTTCGCAGAGCTGCATTCAACTGCTTGTAGATCGCATTCGAGGTATACAACATAATGGCACCATAGAGGTGGGATTCCATCGCCTTCGAAGGACCACCGCTTTGCTTCTCCTGGTGCTTCTTTCCGCGTGCCATCGAGCTCTTGATGCTGCCCGCGGTGCAGATTCCAGAACAAGCCGTTTCCAGGTCTTTTGGAAGGGGCAGGGACATAACCCCACTGATTGGAAGGAGTCCATCGTCCTCCGCCTGCACCTCCTCGAAGCCCATGCGGAGATAGAACTTCAGAAGCTCCTCTTCCGCTTCGAGCATCGCTGACGTTTTGATGGCAGGAGGCACCTTGAAGCCGAAGTCATGTGGAATCAAGGTGTAGTACTCCGAGGAGAGGTCCGCTAGCTGCTTGTCATTCTTTTTTGCCAGGGCAGTCTCAATTCGCTGAAGAACTTCCTGCCCCTTCTCGATCTGGTTCTCTGTGAGCTTGCCAAGAGGCGCTGACTCGCCTCCTTCTCCCTCTTGCTCCTCCGTGTCTACCAGCGTGTACTTGCCAACGATTGGCTTCCAGTCGTGGGCGTCCTTCATGTCGTAGTGCACACCGGACTTGTCTTTGAACTTCGACTTGAACATGGCCTGAGCTGACTCCTCACTCGGGCAGGGACTTAGATTGTGCTGTCCGGTTGCTCCGACACGTCCCCAGCGGGTCCAACAGTAATACTTCGACTTCGTGTCTTCGAGAACCTGTATCCTGTAGAATTTGTTGTTGTTGGCACCAACATTCGTCTGGTTCAAGAGCACAGACCAGTCGCCAGCCACCGAGAAGGTATCCCGATTCGGCACCGCCGCATCCACCGGACGTGATGTCTTGGCCTTTTTCGCTGGAGATGGTGATGCTTCAGCCGGTTTCACCACCTTCTTCGGCGAAGCTGGAGGCTTCTCGGGTGCTTTCCTCTTGGCTCCCTTCTTTTCCTCTTCGGGGGGTTCTTCCGCCTCAGCTTCTTCATCTTCCTCCTCTGCTTCCTCTTCGTCCTCTTCAGCCTCTTCTTCTTCATTGAAGATGTCTTGCACATCTTCATGGGCCACTTCTTCTGGCGTCTGTCCATCCTTCGTCTTGACATTCCGATCGGCACCCCTCTTCAGCAAATACCTCACGGCCTCCACATCACCCTTCTCTGCAAACTGGTGAAGGGCTGACCACCTCCCGGCCGGCTGCACATTGATGAGGTCCGGGTGTTCGTCCAACATGTCCTTTACCGCCTTCAGGTCATACTCCTTAGCCTTGTCCAGGAACTCGTGCTGCTTGGCAGCTGGAGGAACGGCCTTCCGCTTCGGAGCTGCCTTCTCTTTCGCGGCGGCTTTCCCTTTAGGAGCTGCCCTCTCCTTCGGTGCGGCTTTCCCTTTCGGAGCCCTGGCCTTTGCTTCCGGTTTCGGCTTAGCCGCAGCCTTCCGTACCGCCTTGGAGCCCGAAGCTTTGGCCTTGGCCTTGGCCTTCACCCCACCACAGCCGGGGGCCTTCTCCAGCACGGCTGCTTGGTCGTCCTCTTCGAGACCATCGAAGCCATCGACGCTGTCAAGGGATCCCACCTTTAAGATGATGTTTGCCACCTGCTTGTCGGTCACACATGCGAGGCAGCGGTAGCTCACCATGGTGTGGTCTCCGACTTCACTGCTCACACCAAGCCTGACAGCTCCTTTGGCAATCTTCTCTCCACATTTACCCTTGCAGGTTGCCCGGTTTGTCGGAGCATAGCTCCAGCCGTAAGTCGACATGTCGAGAACGCTATCTGGCTTGTCTAAGGTCTTGTGGCCCGTGGAGGATTTGACCGCGGAAGTGTCCTCGTGATCGCTCGTATTGTGAGAATTCTCTGCAACTCGTGTGTACTTGTACAGGCGTTCCAAGGTTGGCTTTACAGGATTGCTCATCTCAGCTTCCCGAGGAGTCTACTCCTGTGCTTGCGCCAGCATGAAAAGTGGGCAGACTGAGAAGCTGTCGCATGCAAAAGCATATCTTTGCTGTCGCACCTGCTGCAATCCCAACACGGCTCTGCATTTATGACACGCTGCGTGGCCCACCTGAACCGCTCCAAGGCCTCGAGAGCGCATCCTCTGCGGAAGTGTGCCTGCAGACGGCTGAATCCACACGGAAGCGATCGGAAGCGTTCATCTTGCAAAAGGTCAGGCATGTCCCCGACGCCTTCACATTGGTCGGCTCCATTTCCAGTGCGGCGCTGCTGTACTTCAGAGCGAGCTTCAGCATGTGCTTGACCTCAGGACACCCGCCCACATCTGCATCTGCAGGCTCGCAATCTCAACAACCCGAGCCTCCTGAGAGTCCGGATTATCCCTGATATCTCGCGGCTACTCGGCAAGGAAGATCTCTCTGAGGCCCGGGCCCATGGCCAGCGGCACTGCGAAGGCGCCACCTTCAGCGCACACAGCGCTGCGTTGCCTCAGTGCCAGTACCACTTTTCCGTCGGATGCCTGGGCTGTCTACTAAGTTATTCTTGCCTGTTCAAGTTGCTCTGACAAAGATGTCTGTGTGATCACGCTGCTACGAAGCCAGGGTGGCTGGAACGAAGCCTCCCTCCAAACCCGACGCCCACAACAGACACAACACGCTGCGTGCTGGCTCCCTCTCTGCTTTTGCCGGGGTGCAAAGCACCGCCACGCGGTTCCGCTCCAAGGGCTCTTCCAGGAGCTCCTTTTCAAGGAGCGATCTGCAAAAGGCACTGCCAAGTGTTATGGACAGGCTGAACTGAAGAGTCTGGGGGAGATATCGCGAGAGCTGTGTTGGGAGGGAGCTTCCCATCTTCAGCACGGCATCGCAGTAGCGCAGCTGTCCTCGTACAGCCTTAGCACTGGCTGCTTTCTTCAAACTCAATCACTGAATCGCGCTGGAGACTTTGTTAAGGTTTGCGGGTATCAAGTCGTGGGATGCGGGGCCGAAGATTTTCTCCAGGGCTGTGGGACACTTCATCTGCCAAGCCACCTCAGTGCCTCTGAATGCTCTGCAGCACGCACCTTCGCATCTGCCTGATCCTGCAAGGCTGATCGCAAGCAGCCATGATGCTCCGCTGCGGCTGAAGATCTGCAGGTAAGGCGGGGGGCCTTCTTGTGTTGAAGCTGCTGATTTTCAGGCTCAGGCGCACCTAGCAGCAAGACCGTCACCGCACAACCCTGTACCCGTCGTAGCAATGACTCTTGGGCTCAAGTGGAGAATACCGCTGCGCCTGCGGAAACGGGCGGAAGCGGTGCTTTTGGAGGTTCGACCTGACAAGTCCCGGGCAGCTGGAGTGCACAAAGTTGGGGAGCCATCTCTGTGAAGACTTGGGCGCAGAAATCACTCCCCTCGCCTGGCTCACAGGATCTTCCCGATCCGGGTCGACACGGGGGCGCCAACTCTGCAGCCAGAGCCTCAGCAGCAACAGCAAGTTTATTGGAGAATGGCTCGCACCTCCCCAGGGATTTGCGGCATGAGGACAAGGAATGGCCGGCTCGCAAGGCTTCCAACAATCAGGAATTGGAACAGTATCGCCCCAGCAAGATGGAAAGTCACAGAAAGCCGGGGTCGTGGATGAAGGCTGCAGCCACTAATGTCAAGGAGAATGCTGCAAGGACACAAACAGTGTGCAAAGGGATCACGACTTGTGCCTACTTGTGCAATCAGCCAAGTATCTTCTTTGGCTGCTCAGCTCCTCTCAAAGCCCCGAACAGAAAGGAGAGTGGGTCATGGAACGCGATACAACATCATAAATCAGAGTACACGAGGAGCTGCGCGGCTTGTCAGGTCTTTCTGGTCCTGAGGCTCTCGTGCCGGTGCTGTGCAGACGCTCTGCAACACTTCGCCCAGCATGCACTGCGCGCCGGAGCGCCTAAGCACGCACCGGCAGGTCTGGGCTCAGGACGGCCTTAGGCCTACTTCCTCCCCCACGGGCCTGGGCGTCCCCAGACTCCAAGGCAGAGCTGCAAACGTCAGCCGTCGCACGCAAGGCTGAAAGCTCCTCACTCTCCTGGTCTCCGGTGGGTAAAGATTTGATTTTGTGCTGGGATGTTCGAACTCACCGCTCGCTCTCGGACTTTTCCATCTTAAGCTCTGGAGTCTCTATAGTCTCTTGAGTTGGTACCTGCAGCTCATTGGCCGAGTCTTGCAATGCAGGGCACACGTCGCTCGTAGTCACCACGCCGACTGCCTGTCACTGTCCGGCTCTCCTTCCTGGGCATGAACCTGCATTGCTGCCTAGCAACCTAGTACTTGACGTGGGAAGGATGGAAGGATCGACTTGGCCGAACCCTCTGAGCACCCTCCGATACACTGAGGTCGCTCGCACACTGATAAAGGATGTTTTTCACTGGGCATCACCCCCAGTGGCTACACTTCATAGTACTTTGCATGGGAGGGATCAACTTTGTCGAACCCTCTGAGCACGCTCAGGTACTGGATAGCATTGTACAACCGGCGCTGTAGCCTCTCGGCTTCATCAGCACGTCGTTGGAAGCTGTCACACATCACAGCATACTGCACCTCGACCTCCGGATCTGATCTCCTCCGTGGAGCCGTGCTGCTGTCGTCTTGCTTGACTTCGTTGCCTTGCTCTTCACGCGCCAGGGCTTCCAAGCTGAGCCCTGGTCGATCCTCTGGTCTGCCTTGCTCCGCAGATGGCGCGTCCAACACTTCGGCGATTCTCTCGATCTTCGCCATCAGCGGTTCCAGCTCAGCTTGTATCCTCTCCATCGTCTCCAGAGGAGCACGGCTCCTAAGTGCGATTTCGGGCAGCTTCGGTGCAGGCACCGGAACGTCCCTGGGCTCTGAACCCGCCAGTAGGCCGAAGGCTGCTAGAAGCTTCCGCTGCTCCCGCATCATCTCGGCGTGTTGTTCCCTCATCACCGAAACCACTTCCTTTTGGATCAGCTTCTTCACATCCAGAACAGTGCACTGGACCAAGGAATGCATGATGATGGGATCGCGCTTGAAAAAGCTTCCGAGGTTTTTGCAGAATTCGAGATAAGAAAGGTTTCCACTATTGTCGGAGTCCAACACGTGAAATATGACTTCCATCTCATCCCTCTTGATGTCCATCTGGTCCATCAGCATCTTAAAGTTCTTGTCGCTGTCATAGCCCTCCTGCATCTCTTCCAGCGACACGGTGCCACTCTCGTCCTTATCCAAGTTGGCGCAGAGAACAGCCAACTCGACCATGTTTTTGGCACGCTCTTCCTCCTTTTTCTTGATGCGTTGCTCCTGGTCATTTTCTCTGGCTTCGGTAGCTCTTTCTACGATGACAGCTAGGATCAAGTTCATGACGCCTAGTGAGATGGTCATCATGATGGCAAAGAGCATCACGGATATCCAGGGGTTCTCCGCAATGAGCGGCAAGGACAGCTCGCCCCAAGAGTCGCCAGCCACGATCTGCTGAAACAACGTCACCCCGGCACTGAAAACATCCGAGAAGCGATACATGCAGTCCGGACAATCCAAGCGTTGCCAATCCATGCGCGCCATGACAGGATGCAGGATCTCCACAGCAACAATGGCCCAGAAGACGATGACGAAGAGCAGCATCATGGCTCCGAAGAAGATGGCCTTGATGGATGAGTAGAGACCCGTCACAAGCAAGTAGAACTCCGGTATGGAGATGAAGACTCGGATGGCCCTGAGCACACGGATCAGCCGGCTGAGTCGAAGAATGCTGAGATTGACCACAGAGGCCAGAACCATGCTCACCCATCCCAGCAGTACTGTAACCAAGTCAATCATGTTCCACTTGTTGCAGAAGAACCCCGTCCGCTCGACATACCAACGAATACAACACTCCACTGAGTAAACCAGAAGCAGTGTGAGGTTGGTGTAGAACAACCATTCAATTGATTCAGTGCCGTATGGACACTCCCTGCCCCTGTCCACATACTCGGGTATGCAGCGGGCATCTTGGTTCGCCTCGAACACGATGAGGCAAATGTTGCCCACGATGATCATGCCCATAACGGTCTCGAAAGACTGGCTAAGCACGAAGTTGGCAACTCGGATCCTGAGCGGAGACCAAATAACATTACCATCGCCATCTAGCCAAGGAGGCTTTTCCAAACTCCGGTAGCGAATGCTTCTCAAGCCTTCCAGAGTTTCGAGTAGGTGATCTTGATTGTTGTCCGTGTGATCTGAAGGACTCTGGGTCAGACTTTTGATTCGGCCGATGCCGTCGAAGGTCCTGGCGGCCATGTTGACGAAGGCTTCGCCCAACTATGGCTGCACTCTAGTTTGACTTGAGCCGCACATGAGCTGAAGGGCTAGGGTTCTTTTGGGATTTGAGTTGGCAATGACTTTCAAGCTCGGGCTGCTGCCGCTGCACCCACGGATTATGCAGCCAAGTCTCTGGCAGCACCCTGCCCGTCCCGTCGAAGCCTTGGACCACACCAGCAACACCGTCATCTTGCGTCGAAGGCTATCTAATGCCGACTGTGCCGCCTGGCACGTAGCAAGAGGCATGGCGGATCACCAACTCTGCACTGAGGTCCGGGCACTGCTTCGTCGCCAAGAACTGGTGCTGCACTAGCTGCTTTGGCTTGAGCAACTTCACCTGCAGAAACCGCTATTCGACAACGAAAAACATCAGGGTGCTAACTGCCGGCACAGCACTTGTCCTTGCATCAAGAAACCGTCTCAGACTCTAACCCTGTTACGGCTGTCGCAGCTCTTGTTGGTCCCCGCCTTCTCTTCGCTGCCATCCGTACCGCCGTCGCTGTCGCTCATGGGCTCTCTGAGTCTGTACAGGGTCCTCAGGGTCCTGCATGTCCAGCGACGAAGCGCTGGCTAAAGTTTTCGCTCCTCTTCTGCCTCGACCTATCGCGCCTCTGATCTCCGGTTCGAGCCCGTCTGCGGCGAATGGCTGGCATCAGCCAGCATGTCCGGAAGCATGAGCCAACACAGACTGCAGTGATCTGATGTTTCTTACTCCGAAGACGACCAAAATAGCGAAGAACCAGGGTCTTGCCATGTCCAGTATCGGGTTTTACACTCCGGTGCAAGGGTCTTGGTCCGAAAATCTCTGAAGGCTGTCACATGCAGAGCCTTTTCCAGCGGAATGCGCGTGCTGACATCTCGGTGGCTGCCGCCAAGGAAAGACTGTGCTGCAAGTATTGTTTCGTGAATGTTGCAGCCAGCTCAATTTTCATGCACCCAAAGCCACGTGTGTAGTCCTTCACATACAGAACACGATACGGGAGGAGCATTGTCCGAAGACAGAGGTGTGCCCAAAAATCAAACCAACGGATGCGTTGGAGCCACTGGGTCTGCTCTGGGGACACTGCTCTCAGCGATCCTTTGGTGGCATCTGCTGCCATGCTGGCTCGAGCCTCCGCGGAGGAAGGCTGCATGGCATTTCTTGCAGCAGAACCCGCCGAATTCTCCAATGGTGACGAAGTAGGAACATCCCAAGTGTGCGCATCTGTACCTGAAGCTCTGCGATGGAGGCGGGTGTGCACGAGGCTGGCCGGCATGGGGACCGCTCGACGCCGGGCTGTGCCGCAACAGCTGTTGCTTGGCCGCCTCGTACGCGTTGCACACGGCATCGTAGGCGCATCGAGCCTGCGCCTCCAAGGCTGCATCCTGCGCAAGGGTGGAGGCTTTGTCGGGATGCAACAACAGCACCAGAGCTCGCTTTTGCTGCTCCAGCTCCTTCGGGCTGTAGTGCATGTTCAACTCGAGCAATCGGATGAAGTTCGCGGCGTCAATTTGCGAGATTCTTGTCACCTCCGAGATCAACCTCTGTCTCCTGGTCTCTTCCTTTGCTCTCTGAGCGTCCTGCCTCCATCGCTGCTCCCGCTCCTCTTGCCAATTAGCTTGGCTTGCTGGGGCGGCCTCCTCTTTCCGCTCTGGAAGTGGCTCCTGCCGCCTTGGTTGCGGCTCCTGCTGCTTTGGTTGCGGCCGCTGCTGCCTTGCTTGTGGCTCCTGCTGCCTTGCTTGTGGCTCCTGCTGCATGGGTTGTGGCTCCCGCTGCCTCGGTTGCGGCTCCTGCTGCCTCGGTGAGGGCTCCTGCTGCCTTGGTTGCGACTCCCACTGCCTTGGTTGCGGCTGCTGCTGCCTCGCTGATGGCTCCTGCTGCCTTGGTTGTGCCTCCTGCTGCATCGGTTGTGGCTCCTGCTGCATCGGTTGTGGCTCCCGCCGCCTTGGTTGCGGCTCCTGCTGTCTTGGTTGCGGCTCCTGCTGCCTCCCTGATGGCTCCTGCTGCCTTGCTTGTGGCTCCTGCTGCATGGGTTGTGGCTCCCGCTGCCTCGGTTGCGGCTCCTGCTGTCTTGGTTGCGGCTCCTGCTGCCTCGCTGATGGCTCCTGCTGCCTTGGTTGTGCCTCCTGCTGCATCGGTTGTGGCTCCTGCTGCA